CCCCAACCAACCCAACCAACCCAACTAACCCAACCAACCAACCAACCAACCAACCAACAAACAAACAACCCAACACCCCAACAAACAAACACCCCAATGTACAAATGTACAAATGTCAGTAGAGTATGTCACTACTAAATGATCATTTTCATTTTTCTTTCGTTACTTGGATGACTATGGCCCAATGACCTGACAACAGTTGACTAGTTTGCACTTCAACTTCACTGCACATGCACTATAACATGCATCACAAACAAACCACAAATCAACCACGGGTCTTAGATCAATCTTACCCCATGTTGTGCTTACATATATCCATGGCTTTATGGATGTAGCAAACTGGAACCATTGCTGTATGCTGGTGATGAGTTTGGTATGAGTCCAATAATCTCACGGTCTCCAACGTGGGAGTGCTTGCATTCTATTTTCACCCGCTGAAACTCGCGACTCGGATTTAAAAACAAAAGTTGAGCCCATGCATGGTGCATTTTGGCTTGTGTTGAGCAATCCACTGACACTCATCTGGAAACATGTTGTGGCCCACTACCTGCTGTAGGCCCGTCTGGGGCAAATGCATAATTTCGTGCAGATGAAGTAAGTGGTTCCACTCGCAACTTGTCCACAACTTGAATTCAAATGAGCTCTGACAAGGGCATTCCCTTATTACTGTTCATTCCTTGTTACGTAACTGAGACCTGACCTGTGACTGACTTCACCACGGAACTGCTATCCCTGGTTGTCATAAATAAGACTCCTGAATGATATCAGGGCTACTTCAAAAATGATGTCATGGCTACTTCAAAGCACAAGTATTGCTCAAGTTGACCTGGGAAGCTACATTCATCTTGACAAAACATGCATATTCTCCAATTGTTAGACTTTATACCAACATTAAATTTACCTTGCTCAAAACAACTGACACTTTACAAAATCATCGTAGTTGTGTGACTGGAATCATTTCGCAGGGGAACTCTTGGGGTTTCTTGGAGAAGGCACTCAGTGGCTTTAGTGACAGCTTTCAACAAAACTGTCCTTTTTCATCTATGCCCCGAGGAAGAGGGTAATGCCCTAAGTTATACCACCGAATCCCAGTAACACTCCTGTACTTGTGCACATTTCACTTGTATCAACTTACCAGATCCAGCCCTGATCCTGCCTGATAGATCCACTGACTGATGATGTTTCCTAACCTTCTTCACTCTCTCATTCTCCTTCATCAGACTGCGATTGAGTATTGCCTGCTTCCGAAGATCATCAGCAAACTCTCTACCTGACTGAATAACAGCAACAAATGATACATTCGAAGTCATAATTTGTGTGCTGCGGGGAATGCTGCAGGTGTTCTTTAAACTTTTCTCAAACTTAAGCTTAACAATCTTGCATTGAAATGCCATTAATGGCCTTCCATCTCAATTAAGTTCCATGTTGTGCTAGAGAAACATCCAATATTTCCAAGACACATGACCCTTCAAAATGATCACACACAACAAAAATATAGTTTTGTTCCTTGGCCCGCCATAGGCATTTTCACTTGATTTGCATAATTGGTGTGCCACTGCAATGCCCCACTCATACAATTTGATTCACGGAATCATTCAACCATTTCCCTATATAACATGAACGGCCTTCCGGCCTAACCATTCAGGTGAAGCCACACACACCGAGCAATTACACAGTTTTCCTTACTTGTTTCATTTCCCGCGTTTTCCAATTCTTTATTGCTAAAACCCATCCCCGTCCCACCCCGAGGAGTTCATATGTCATATTTCTTTTCCTCGTTGCAGTTTCCCTTTCCGAAACCCCCTTGTTTTATTGTCAGGCATGCCAGCTTTTGAGTCGTGCTTCTCCTGCGTCAGGGCATTGGTCCCGTAACTGCCCCTTCTCCTTTGGCTCCAGCACCTACTCTTGCAACCGGCCAAAACCAACAGCAAGCCCAGCCGTCCCTTTCTCTGGTTACAGACCTTTCACCTGGCATGCACCATCTTTTCAAAAAGCCCTGCTCAGTCATCCCGGAATTGCTTCCGCCGAGTCTTTCGACACAGGCAGCAGAAATAACAGCCCGCCGATTTGTCCCAAATTTGACGACGTTTTGAAGGTACATTGTCCATGTAGATCCTCAGAACCGTCATTTTTGCAGTCCGATGATTTACCAATTAAAGGAAGGTTAAGACAACATATTAAATTTTGGCGTGATATGGGTGCTCCTAGTATGACTTTGTCAATCGTTGAAAATGGTTATGTAATTCCTTTCGTAGAAGAACCTCCGACTTTGTTTCTCCGTAATAACAAATCTGCCCTACGCCAGGCTGCTTTCGTGACAGATTCTGTAGAATTGTTGGCTTCTAACCGCATTGTAGAGAAATCTCATCCCTCCTCTGTTGTCAGCCCTTTATCTGTTTCATGTTCAGCTGCAAAAACAGTCTTATCCTTGATCTCAGTGTTCTCAATACTTACATTGCTAAAAACACTTTAAATTAGATGACTGGAAGTTAAGTATTCAGTATCTTTCGCCCAATGCTCTCATGGTATCTTTTGATTTAAAGTCAGGCTACCACCATTTCGACATCGCTTCCATCTCTCAGAGATATTTAGGTTTTTCTTGGAGCATTCACGGGGTAGACAGATATTTTGAATTCACCGTCTTACCTTTTGGCTTAACAACTGCTCCTTACATATTCACTAACGCTCTTAAACTGTTAGTTTCTCATTGGCAGTCCTGTGGTATTCTGATAGCTCTCTATCTGGATGATGGTTTTATTGTCGTTCCACATTCCGAGCACTCCTCTGACCATTTCAGACAGCTTTAGGCATCGCTAATCACGTATGCTCTATCTCTTAGAGGCAGGTTTTGTATACAACATATCCAAGAGCATTTGGAATTCTGCATCTTCCATCGACTGGCTGGTTATGAGATGGGATACCACGCGGGGTACTCTGCAGGTAAATGATCGTAGGATTGAAAAAATTAAGGCATCTATACAGTCCCTGTTCAAACAATTCGCGTCTCTAACTGTTAGGGACTTGCATTCATTCGTAGGCTAAATCATTTCCTTGTCACCCGTGGTCGGCAATATTACAAGGTTGATGACTCGTAATTGATGATAATTGCTGCCTCCGCCAATATCCATTGGTACCTTCAAATGCGTGCTTATCTGAGCTTAAATTTTGGAGAGGCAACGTTCCACATTTGAATGTCCATTTTGTTTTTGCCCATCATGTTGTCAATAGGATAATTTGTTCAGATGCTAGTTCAACTGGCGCAGGCAGCATAATCTGCAGTGATGTCCAACACTGCCCACAAGCTGTGGTCTCCAGCAGAATCAAAACAGATTTCAGCTTGCTAGAGTTCAACTTGGCGTGAGCTTGAGGCTATCCATTTTGCCTTGCTCTCCTTCCTTCCCTTTATACGTGCTTCTGAGTTAAAATTACTCACCGACAGTCAATGTGCAGTCAAGATTATTGAATCTGGCAGCATGAAGCCATACCTTCACAACTTGGCTATGGACATTTTCAGTATTTGTCTCGGTAATTGTATTTGCTTTAATGTCGAGTGGATTCCCAGGACCATAAATGATCAGGCCGATTTTGTTAGCAAGATTATTGACACAGATGACTGGGCTCTTTCAGACAAATTCTTCTCGTTGATTAACTCTTGTTGGGGTCCATTTACGATCGACGGCTTCGCTACCTTCTATAACTCTGAATTGCCAATGCTTTTGGCTGTTGCTGTGGTTGCATTACCACGCCTGGATTAAGGACTTCATACTGAAGTGGGTTACCATGCACTTAAACACGGTAGAAATAACAATAGTCTCCTTGGGTTAAGTAATTTCGATGGTTTCGTAGTAGCAGCATATTTAGATTTTGAGATGGTCTAACGACTTTACCACGTTGGTTTTTTTTTGTTAAGACTTCCACACTTATCTATATGTTCCTCCCTTTTGTGTGCATACAGATTGTTCGCAACCATTCCTTCTGGCATGATTTTCCATGTCAGTTTCAAGCACAGAAGGAGTCTATCCAGCTGGACACGATTTTTGCTAAATCTGAGGGTACGGTGACCTCTTATCTCTACAAATGTCATCAATTTCTGTCCTGGTTAGATTCACAATGTATTGCCCCGGCTCTGCCAATTTCTGAACAAGTCTTGGCATCCAATCTATCCCAAATAAAATCACAATTGATTCCAATAGTGTTTTGATTTTCACCGCTGCCGCATTGCAGTGGTTCCGTTCCATAATCAATTCCAAAAGCAACCCTCTTGATTCTCCCATCCTACAGCATATCGTCATCAGCGGTAGATGTGACCTCCATCATCCATCTGTACAAAAACACCCAATTTGGCTTACGCAAGTCAAAGCAATTGTCGATCTGTTTGCAGGTCTGGAGGCTTTGCTATTAGACCTTAGAACTGCTTGTTACGTCTCTCTTAAGTATGCCCTTCTCTTTCGACATAATGAGATGGCATGTATGAAAGCTAATCATTTAACTGAGATTAGTTGTGATAACAAGGGTATAGATCCGTCCTTATGATAAGTGCTTATATTTAGGGATCATATATCTGCCTTTATTGACACCGGAGAGCTTAATTTAAACTTGATGTATAATACATAGACCAGATTGATTTGACGGTCAATCTATATAAATTGGTAATTATAATTTTTCAGTCCAAGTTCATTTGTGCCTATTCCAAGTCAGTCATTGCTTAATTGTGTCGCATTGTTTGTGTATGTATTTGGCTCAGATTATCTGATTAATAATAGATCCAGGGTTGAATCGGATGTGTAGCGATGTTTGGTTCAGATGATCCAAGACGGTCAGATGATCATTCAGTGGATTTTAAGAAGAGTGTGGAAGTGGAAAAATTATGAAACTCGGACAAGGTCCGGTATTAATAATGTATTCATCAGATGACCGTCCTTATGATAAGGGTTATATTTACGGAGTATATGTCGGCCTTTATTGACGCCGGAGAGCTTAATTTAATCTTGTGTATAATACATTACAGACAAGATGAATTCGATCGTCAGTCAATCTATATAGATTGGTAATTATAATTTTCCATCCAACATCATTCGTGCCTTTTCCAATTCGGTCATCGTTTCATTGTGACACGGTGTTTGTGTAGGTATGTTTGGATCAGATGATCTGATTAATGATAGATCCAGGCTAAAATCGTACGTGTAGCGAAGTGGGATCAGATGATCCATGACGGTCAGATGACCATTCAGTGGATGTTGGGAAGAAAAGAGTGTTAAAAAAAAATCCAGTGTATCATGATTTGATAAGCTCGATGTTCGTGACACACCACCTCCCCATGCTGAATGAATACACTTGGAAGGTCAATCCATTGCCTCTCTCTCCTTTGTATGGCCGTCCTTAATACTAAACTGCTTTTTGTGCGTATGAGCGTAGCGAAGTGGCACAAAATTTTCAAAACTTATGGCCCTTCACAAGAAGTCAAAGTTACCAGCATTAGCCTAGGCAAAGACCAAAGATGGACTGTTACTTGACATACCATAAGATCTTCATCATTAGAGGATGACACAGAAGCATCACTGTAGCTTTGTAATGAGGATGAGCTGAGATTTGAACGGATTCCCAGAGTCTGCTCATTAGTGCTGTCTACCTGGATATCACTGTCTGAACTAGCTGCAGATAAAAAACACACCATACATGATAATTTTGAAAATTGGGTTCCTATCCTCACCAGTGAAAAAGCATCAGATGGCAAATGCCCATCACAATGCAACACTGTTGTCAACTACTTGACGCTGGATGACCTGTAAACACACATAGCTGTCCCTATTTGCTCCACGGAGGATGTGTACACTTCATTTAAGAATTCTTTTTTTCATTTCTGCCGTTGACACAGATTGACACAGTTGTATTATTTCTTAAAGCCTGATTTGATCATGGCTCTACTCTCTTAGTATAGGGTCAAAATTTAATTGGACTGATATGTGAATACTGATGTACTGATTGTACCAGACTGGTACAATTGGTACAATCAGTACCAGCGAATAGGTTCATGGTATATCATGAAAAAACTTACGTAGGTTGTTAATCGAAGCAGATGGAACAACTTGCCTGCTGTATCCTGAGATTTAAATTCCTGAGATTTGCACTAGGTTCTTCGGTCTTGAAATAGACCAAAATATACTTTGGAAACACCAAATTGATTCGTTTCGTATATATACCACAATGTCTTTAAGGCTCATTACATTATTAAAAGAACTACTTGTTTTTAATTGTTCTACTCAACTGTATACATGTAAATGTATGACACTGCATTGGGTTTCATCAAACAGCATATATGCATACGTACAAATGCATCATATGAAATACAAAACGAATTCCAACCAGTAAACCAACCCAATCAATTAATTAACAAATTTATGGTTTCTAAGTATTAACAGACCAATACATACCTTGTGCTCCCCACACTTGTAGGAGGAGTGCATTCGTTTGGAGATACCGTAAAAATTCCTCAGTTACAGTCTTGATGGTAAATTGTTTCTGGAAGCTGAATTTGGCATTCGTATTATACCAAACTGTCTTGGTCTTAAATGGTGTAGGGCAGTCAAAGAAATCAAACCTATGAAGACAATAAAAAAATATTTATAATTGAATTTTGACAACTGCCAGTTTTAAGTTGAACTACAATTTATTGTATATGTTCTTAAAGCTGCACTATAACGGAGTTGAAAAACTGAAACAATTTTTTTTTCCGTATAAATGTCTCAAAGTTCCCAGCAACACTTCTTTTTGCTGTTTTTCATGATGGCTTATGACGTAAAATTACTAATAAAAACCAAGAATTTTGTGTCTGCAGATCGTTGTTTTGAGAAAAATTTTCTTTATTCCACTCCCAGAGGGAGCTATATAAAAAGGGTTCCTGGTTCCCTGTCCAAAACCAACATCAACGCAATATGAATTACAGGAACCTGTGCAAAGTCGTGACGAATGTGGCGGTAGTCTCGCGACCAGCAGTAGTGCTCAGCTCATGCATGTATGGGATTGAGTGAAAACACAGACGAGAATTTATGATTTTTGTACTTTTAAGTCTCATCATGCCCCCAGAACATCCCCGAAGAATCGCGATGTTAGGTTTTTTAAATTCCCGAAAAATGACCGAGTTTGTCAGTAGTGGGTGCAAGTTGTCTGCACCACTCGTGCAGAGTTTTTGGCCGGCAGTATGCAGTTAACACTTAGAATTGACGACTGACAAGATCAGTCGTCTCGGCTGAAGCAATAACTTGGCCTGAAGACAAGATACGTACATGTACTCAAGATGGGAGCAGTACAGAGTTTAAAATTGCCCTCCATAGCCACCAGGACTGGCGCTACCAATCATGCTGATCAATCTCATCCAGCCAGATGTTCAAAAGGGGTGTTTGAGGAGAGAGAGAAACAAAGGGTAGGCCTAGGCCTAACGTTTTGGTTTATTTTCTTGGATTATAGAGCCTTAAATCCTTCTGTATTTCTTCGAAACTCTGGAGGATATTTTGTTTTTAGTTGTAACATGAAGTAGGGACCCTAATGCCATGGTTATAAGATTTGTAACTGGACCGAAATAAGACCTTAAAATGATTTGTCAAAATGTGTGTCTTATGCCCAAGGCCTAAACACTTGGACATAAAAAGATAGTTAGGCTAAGGCCGGGCCTAGTATTAGAAAAGTATATCACTTATCAGTGAGCATGAGTGATTCAAAATCCTATGAGGAAAATGGGCAGTGGAGTTAGCAGAATGTAATTGCTGTGTGTCCAGGTTGGCCATGTGGGAAGAATTACAAAAAAAAAGAAACAAAAGTACCCCACTTACATGCACATGTAGGCTACGTAATGTTCAAAGCATGGACTGATCCCAATCCACATTTTCTGGGGGCAGGCAGACAAACCTGTTTTATTGGGCAGGGCTGTGTTTTTGTGCTTTCTGAAGGGAGGGCCCTAGAAAAAAATTCTTACACATTCCACATGTTTTTTACCTGGGTAATTGTGTGTATTTTTATTGCAGTTCAGGTACTTCAAGAAGCCTTCAGATAGCACTCCATACAGGATTCTGAGCCTCCCGAAGAATTTGATGCTTCTATAGCATGAGCTTTAGTCTGCAGTCTGGAGAGGTTAGCTTGATCTCATTGTGAATAACCAGGGCAATTGATGAAGAATGATAATTGAAGTTTAATGTAATTTGCATGTTAAGTCGAACCTCAATAAGAGCACTGTTAATACGAGGTTCCTGTTATAACAAGAAAAGTTAAGGTCCCAAGTTCTTTTTGTTTTCCCCTCCTGGGTAATACAAGGTTCCTGTTACAACAAGATAATTTGTAACATCCCGAGGACCTCTTATTATCGAGGTTCAAGTGTACATGTGTAACCCTGTCCCAAAAGAGGTCTTGGGTTACAATTTCAAATTGTATTTCTTTATGACTGTTTTCCTTTGGCATATTTAAATTGTTCTTTCCTGAGCTTTTGACTTCTCTACTGGTAAGCAGTGTTCCAGTGTTGAACCTTTGATTTATTGCCTATTCCTTTTGTCAAATAGCCTGCTCTTCCTTCAGTTTATCTTTAATGTTCCTGCTCTCCTGGAAGATCACAGGATGTTCTTTGTATCCACTGCCTTTAATCTCTGACTAGTACACCAGTGTGTACACTACCAGTAAACTTTTCAGGAGATCAGCAGGATGTTGTGACACTTAATCCCTAGTTGTTCATACCTTACCCAAGCTGTGAAAGCCATAAACTTCTGCTGAGTGCTCATCTACCTATACTAGATACTAAATGACCAATCAGTATTGGAGTCATGTGTGACATTTTTTGAGTTGTTCAATGAGAGCCTGAGCTGGCCATGTGGCAAGGGCATGTTCTGGGTGGCAGTTTGCCCCAGAGTTTTGGCAAGCCTGGCATCCCAAGCTTTGCCATCGTACTGATTACATGCCTGCCAATTTTTTTTTGCGCTCTGCATTATTTTTCTTTGGACCGGAGGACCTAAAAATCCAAGTCTTCCCATGTTCACAAGTGTTGGCTCTCTATCTTAGTTACTGAACTGCATGTTCTGAAAGAGGGTCTGGAGGGGAGTATCTGCAATCCACCTGAAGAGCCGTCCCCAGGAATCTCAGCCACCGAGCTATTGTGACTTGCAGACACAGCACAAGTACACCATGGCATCTGTGGCATTAATCACCAGCATCCGCAAGGACATGTATTCCTTTGCGTTACATTTCTTCTGCTGAACTTTTGCTCTCCACTTTTTGTCAACCGGCTACACGACATGGAATGACTCATTGCAACTCATCTCTACATCTAGAACTTTGGCGCTATTTTTTTCTTGAGCTCAAAGTGTATTCTAACTTTTTCTGTAAATCTCCTATTTTAATTAATGGCCATCTGAACTGGTGTTCTCTGGATTCATTTGATATTTTTCATATTGATTGGCTTGTCTATTCCCTCCAATAAAGCAAAATCTCTTTTGGACGTAAATCCTGAATTGTGTGAGGTCGACAGTTTGTTCAAAAGGGAATTGAATTAATATGAAATTTGGTTCCTGCTATTTTGAAATGTGAACCACGGGTTACACATGTACAATTTTGTACATACACATGCGGCTTATATTAGACGGCATATGTTATTTGAATAATGTCTTGAGTAGGAATTTCAGTATATACTTTGCCTTATGAACTGGACAGAATGGTTGTGGCATGATTTTGTCTAAATTAGTCTTTTAGTTCATCTGCAAATTACATCATTATTACATACGTGTAAAAATATTTTTGTTGCATGGTTCCATCAAGCTGCGGTTATTTGTTTAATAAAAAAAATTGTAATTGTTTTGTTTCCCTCAATTTTTGTTTTGGTGGCTGAGTAATATATATTGTGAAGAAAATCTTTGAACAGATTTTTTTACAGGCAAGTGAACTCAGTGCAGTTGAAGAATATGTTACAGCCCCTTCCTGCGATGAAAACCTGTGATTCCACCATGGCACCCAGTCAATTACAATGGTGCAGAGGAAGAGCACTGTTCATAAATTTACATTGCGTACAATGTTTACCGTATCTACTGTAACATCAAAAGATCAGGTCCCGGTCTATATTTTTCTTTGTACATGTATTCCACTCATAAAAACACAAGGTTCCTGTCATAAAAACACAAGGTACATGTATTCGTAAAGTTCCAAGACCGTGGATAGGCAGGATGGGAATGTAGATGCATTTTAATTTTTTCTTTGAGGTCCAAAAATTATTCAGTTCCTGCATCTCCCTTGTATGAAATACAGGAAAACCACACTACGTGTATAAACCCATATAGGAGTACGTGTATTTGGGGCCCAATTTTAACAAACCAATTTTGAGGATTCATGTCAGGAAAAAATCCAATTTGAGAGCAGGAACAATGCATATTAAAGGAAAAAGATCTGACAAGTTAATGTGAGAAACTTCGAAAAAGTGGTTATTTTGTGAGAAATATGTGCAAGTTGAGAGCATTATACCTAATTCTTAGACAAGGATCAAACTTGAATGGCAATAGACATGGGTTCTGAAATAATATACTCCTCCACAAATATACATGTATGTACACAAGTACATGCTTCATGCTGGAATGCACTTAGTTTATTTCAAGATATTACATATGTAATAATACAATATTTAATAATACATGTACTGTAACCACAGTGTGGATTTGAAAACCTGCTTGTACAGTTATAGAATAAGTTGACAGCAGTGAGTCGAATGCAGCAAGTTGTATTGAAGAGGATTAAAAGAACTGGCATGCACGATAAACAAGATAATGTGATGTGTTTTTACCTTAGATACAAAAAACAGACAAAACATTAATCCAACTGAGGATATCGGAATCCCTTGTACTCGCTGTCTAAATTTGGATGCAAGAATGTTGTCCATGATGGCAATGGGACTGCAGTGGCATCTAACCTCAACACCACTGAACTGCTTGATGATATGCCATGTGGCGATATTTCCCGAGTAAAAAATAAAAACATATGAAATGCTAAAGAAAACTAATAATGTGGAAAAAGTACTATTTTCATGCAGATAAAAAGTTTGACCAAAAAACACTATAAATAAAAAATAGATGTTTGGGCTGGGCTTTAAAGAAACTCAGTCTGAGCAGGGTAGTGATATAAAAATGGGTTTTTCTTTGACAAGGAACAAAAAACTTTAAAGTGTAAAATGCGAAACACAGGGATACCCATAGTAAATAAAATCCTAATCAATATTGATCATACACCCCCAAAAAATCAATAAAATGCATGAACTGTACATACTGGTCAAGAGTGCCCTGGACAGCGTCTCTGCCACACTGAGTTAGTGCTACTGCATGTGAGTTGTCTGTAGCATTGCAGAATGTAAGAAACAGGCATAAAACAACTCATGGTAAGAGATCTACACAGGGATCTACATTGTCCACTCATGCTAAGTTCCACCATCTTTGCATGTACTTGTGGAATCTCCTTACAACATCTGTTGTTTAGCAGCAGTGGCTGCAACACACTTGCAGTGCTCACAACTGCACCTATAAAAAAACCAAACACCACATTAGCAAGCCCAGGTCATGCAAGTATATTTATGTGTGGACATACTTATAAAGGACATGTTATATAATGCACATGGGGTGAAGGTCATCGTTTATCCTCTGACAACTTTAATTTCGTTATAATCGAATACAGTAAACACATTGTCAAAAGAAAGACATGGTATTTCCAATTCCCTTCTGTACGCAAACGTAAGGTGCGAGTCGACTCGCAGCCGATCAGTAAACATGTCACGTAGGCCCTAGGCTATGTACACATTGAACCAAAAACGTGAGACTTTCAAAGTTGGAATTTCTTCCATGGAGTACATGCAGTAACAAGTGCATAAAGTGCATGTACAAAGTCAGGTTCAAAGGTATATCGGCCATTTCAGTGGCAATGAAAAACTTTGATTTAGGCCTACCATTTTACCAATCTGTGTTTCAAAACCGATTGTGCTCTTGTCCACCCGAAAGCTGCCGCAGCATTACCGTCCCCGTCGTCATTGGTATGATCCGGCTAGCTCGAAGCAGTAGACTTCGGCACTTTGTGTTTTAACTACGTTTATATCGCCCGCGAGGTCATCTAGTTGGTCCAAATCTGATGAATCTTCCTCACTGGCCTCAGATAAATCAACCTTCTCCTTGTCAACACTGTGTTCTTCACAGAAGTCTTCGTTTTTTGGGGTGTTTTTTTTACTTTCACAATGTACATGTACAGTAGAGCGTGCGCTGATTGAGTACCACGGCCTACATAATATTTCATTCATGCATTATGCAGGAGATGCAAATTGCTAGATGACGACACTGCCGTTTTCGCAAAAGGCTCGTTCAGCCTGGACAAAAGGGCCTAAAACTCTGGTCTCTTTCAGACTGAAGAAAACATCAGAAATGTTTTGTTAGCAAATATATGTGAAGAATTACAACAGTACATGCTACATGTATTTGAGAGACAAAATCACAATTCTCCACTTCGTTTTAGTACTGCTTTAACTAAAAGGACAGATGAATTTCCTGTAATTTGAAGTGAGCACGCACTGATGTCACAAGTACATTTGACTTTAATTGTCAAGTGTGTTACAGTTCATCTGACAAGAATTCAGTTTTTCATTATGTAAGCCTGTTTTTACTTCGTCTTGTGGTTTATTTTAGAATTCACCACACCCGTGTAAATGGAATCATCTTAAAGTTTTTAGCCAATAGTATGCACTTCAATATGGGCATTTTACAGTAGCGCACCTCCACGAGTTTGCAATTTGTTGACCAATCACAGTGTGCGAGATCTGTTGACCCAATGCGCATGAGGAAAGGGTTGACAAATTTTGCGCACTGCAATTGGTCAATGCGTTGCAAACTCTTGGAGGTGCACTATTGTGAATGGCCCATATTCCCCAACAGACTTTCCTTAGCCACTGACAGTGTAAGTGTTAGCGTCCTTTTGAACCTTCACTCATCTTACACAAGATCACTTGCCATGGCAATGTTCCCAAAGCGCACCTTATTGGTACGTAGCAGCAGGACATGATGTAGTACCACTGCCAGCTTGCATTATTTGAAAACAAAAGGACTTGAAGGTTTTTGTTGATGGTATCATGTCAAGAGACCTGGTATACATGTAGGTTCAGTGCAGAGACCAGTTCCAACTTTCCTGTTTCTGGAATCTGAAGACAGTAGTTCAACAACTTTGGGCTCAGTTTGATCCTGTGGAGAACAGGAAAGTCAGTCCCGATCTCTAGAATTTGGCATTTCCAGGCCAAATACATGACATTTTGTCCTGATCATCTTGATGTTCATGGCAACAGTCTGCCTCCTGTCTTTCTAAGTTTCTCACCAGCAACATAACCGTAAGTGTTAACTAAGCTAATGTCTTGAGTGTTGTAAAAAGTCACGTTGAAATCATCATTATATTATTTTGATCACAGAGCAGTTGGAAATTTGAGTTAAGAATGTTTAAGTTACTATGATGTTTTGATTAGGGATTCTGTAAGGAGTGCAGAGCACTAACAGATGTTTTGAAAGCCATAGATTATTAGAAAACTTTAAACATTTTGAATACTTTAATTTAATGGTCTTTGTCGTACGGAGTGGTTTGTCAACAGTGGCGTAGCCATGGGGGGGCCAGGGGCACATGCCCCCACCAATTTGGGGTGCCCGCAAGATGCTTCCCCACTGGAAAAAAAAACGAATGAATGGTTATTGAACAAGACTAACAAAAACTTGCCCCCAAAAACCACACTTCTGAAAGCTGGTGCCCCCTCCCAAAAGATGATGGTGCCCCCTCCCA